CGGGCCCGCCGGGCGCCCCGGCCCACGGGCACAGTCCGCTGCTTGGTGCAATAAAAGTAAAATCACTGCAAGCCACGAGAGCGGCTTTGCACCCGAGCTCTGCCCTCTTCTTACGTTAAATTATTCTGCAGAGCGCTCCTCTGCAGGATTTCTAGTCCTCATCAGGGAGGTCCTGGGCCAGAGGAGGTGGCCATATATCCCTCGAAATCACTATAGGGGATTTTTTTCTCGGCCGAAGAGGATGAAAACGGTGCTTGTGGCACGTAAACATCTCTGAGTCGCTCAGCGGAAGCTGAGGGCCTGGACGGACGGACAGACACGCAGACACCGCTGCACCCCTGAGCAAGGGGCAGGCTGCGGTGGCTGGGAAGAGGAAACTCCTCGGCCTTGGCTGTGGGATAAGGGTCAAACGTTGCAACAGCTGGAAAGTGGATTTAAGCCAAAGCAAACAAACCAAAAAAAAGCCCAAAGAAAACAAGGCAGCCTGGATCGGTGCCGTGTTTTTAGCAGAGGTAGAGGAAGGCTGAGACAGCATGAGGCCCCGGGAGACCTCAGCACCCAAACCCGGTCGCTGTGTCCAAGAAACATGAACTGTGACGAGAAGGAGCACGAGGAGGGCTCAGAGGCTGTTCGGGGACACGGGAACCCTTTGCTACAGCGAGAGCATGAAGGGGCTCAGTTTTCCTATCCTAGAAGGAGAAAAGAAGCTATCAGGTGATCTGCTGCCATCTATAAATACACCTGGGGACTGAGTAAACATCATGGAGAGAAAAAAAATAAAGTGAAGCTGAAGAACAGCACTGGCACAAAGACACATTTATAGAAAGTGGCCAGGAGTGAGTTTAGGCTGGAAGGGAGGTGACAGCTCCTTCCCGGCGGTGCAGGGAGGTCCTCAGCAGGCTCGGACGTAAACGATGTGGTCCTCTTCAGAGGCAGAGCTCGGACAGTTTGGGAAAGGAGATGGCAAGGCTGTGGTGATGGGGGACAGAGCCCCGTGGCCGTGGGCGATGGCTCGAGCCTCCAGGAGGCCAAGAGCTGCCCCAGCAGAGAGCACAGATGCCTCTTTGCTTACGGACAGGACCTGCACACGGGAACCGCTTCCCACCGGCTGGCTTCAAACCACTGCGCAGGGATTTGGAAAGTCAGAGATCCAGCACGGGAAGACGTTAACCCCTCCCTCACCCGCCAGCTCTGGCTCGCAGACCTCCCGCATCCAGAATTAAAACCGTGGCAAAGGCGGACCGAAGCATCCCTAACAAGAAGACACCAGCGCGACCACGCTGCAGGCGTGTGCATGGGCAGCCACGCGCTGAAAATCCACCGCTTGTTTTCCTTGCACCGCCCAGACAGGCTGAAGATGCTTCATCTTCAAGCAGGGGAAACATCCTACCTCACAGCTCAGCCCGTGAACATGAAAGGTTCTCGCAGCAGCAGCAGCGTTTTCTCAAAGCTGGGTGCTTGTTTCAACGTCAGGGAAGGCTGTTGGGTTGTTGTCAGCTATTTACATGCTGTACCCAGGGCAAACCGGCTCACGTGACATTCACTTCTGGCACAACGCTGCTCGGCTCACAGGCTGAAAATATCCAACCGATTAGGAAAAAAATGGCTGCTTATAAATAAAATGTGGGACTGTCCCTGCCACTGTAGTAAAATAGTGTCAAAACAAAAACTAGCCTGTGCAGAACAGAGGTCTGGCCAGGCTGCTGCTCAGGTCTTGCCAGGTTGAGCATTTTTATTTGTACACCGGAATATTTGGTGTTATAATCACGGCGGTGGGTGATACCAGTGAAGGAAGGAGTGCTGCATGCTCTCTGCAAAACTGGAAGCTGGGGGACCGTGGGAATTCGGTGCCTTGCGCTGCGGAGAAGCACCCGCGAAAAGCCAAAGGGAGAAAGCAAAACCCGCTCTGTTTTCTGAAACACCCCAAACCCTAAACCCCAACGTAGCAGTGCCGGACCAGGAGGATTCACACAGAACTCTGCACGTGACATGTGAGATGCAGCCTGCAATGTAGGTGCTCCGGACACTCACAGCCCACTCGCGTTCCCTCTGCCCTCCGGTCTCCGGCACTGCTCTGGGATCAGCTCCGTAAGTGAGAGTTCAGAATTCAACAGAACCAGAAAATTAAAAAAAAAAAAAACAAAAAGAGAAAGCCTAAGGCTGCCAACAGTTTCCACACTTTGGAGAATACTTCTGACCATGTCCTCAATTCGGAGGGCAGCTGAAAACCCAAATCCTGAAGGGTTTTGGCAACATTTAATTTTCATTCAGAGGCTTTCACGCCATGCGAAATAACAGAAAGATATACAAGAAACTTCTACCACTTAGATACATCTAAAACCAGTTTACGCTGCAAATCCTCTTCGGCACCTCGACCGCCTTGCATGGGCGGCAGAGCCCTCGCGCCCATCTCGCCCGCGCTGCCCGAGGTCCTCTGGCTGCGCTGGAGATGCTGCGGCACCTTCATCCCATC